TTACCAAGTGCCTACCTGTTTAAAGTTCTCAGCCAGAAACACAAAATAGACACAGCAAAATCCCAGCTGAGTGACAATCAGGAAGAAGTCCACAACATGTCTGGAGATGGGGAGGGAAGGAATACAAAGACTGTTACAATACAAACGCAAGACTCCCAGAAGGGGAGGTGTTTTTTTTGTTTGTTTTTGTTTTTTTTAATAGATTTAGGGGGTACAAGTGCTGTTTTGTGAAATGGATATATTGCATAGTGATACAGTCTGGGCTTTTAGTGTAACCATCACCCAAACAGTGTACACTGTACCCATTTTTTTTAACAGTGCTTTCCCCAAGCCATCACAGACCCTTCCCAGAAGGTGACAAGGATGAGCATGCCCTGGTAGGAGAAGAATCCATGCTAGGTGCCACCAGTCTAGGGCTTTGGGAAGAAGGTGAGTGAGGTGCTAGCTGCATGGTTTCAGAGGTCCCCTTCCTGGCTTCTCATCTGGAATGCTACATGAGATCAGGCACATGCACAGATACCATGACCCTTAGCCTTCTCTCCACACATCTGCCCACCTAGCCCATCTCACACTTTTTTGCTAAAGTTACAGGGAGCCCTTGACATAAAAGGCCAGGAAGTAGTCCCTTCACTGTCTCTATAACTTGGATACAAGAGCCAGTCAAGTCCCACATTAAGGACACAGAAACTGATATACCAAAAACAGATGGCTAGTTGAACAATAGCGGCTGGTAACAACCTAGAGTTTCATCAAAAGCAAAGTGATTAAATCATAGACCATTCTTAAATGGAGCATTATACAGCAGTTAAAAATAATGTGTTAAATCTGTATGTGCTGATAGAGAAAAACATCTCAGACATTTAAGGGAAAAAAGCAAGTTTCCAAACAGTATACATAGTATATTCAATCTGCACCAAAAACTTTAAGAACATGTGTATGTTTCTATTTATACAGCAAATTCCAAAAGGCTACTCATGCAACTGGGACCAAAATTTTCTTTTACTTTTCACTTTATGTCCTAACTTAATCCAGAAAAGTTTTTACTTTGAGCACACATTAAAATGGCACACATTTTATTAAAAGAAGGAAGGAAAGGAGGGAAGGAGGGAGGAAGGAAGGAAGCAGTAAGAAAAGAAAGGAATGACGAATTAACAACCAATCAACTCATGGTGGTCACTTGACAATCTGGCTCCTCCCAGTCACAGAAGATAATTTGGCCAAAAGAACTAGATAATGTGCACCACAGGATAAAGGTGACTAGGAATGAAGGTAAGCTTCCCCTGTGACCACAAAAAGGAAATTTTCTAGAGAACATAGTTTTAATGTGGCTTGTTTTTTGTTTTTAAACAAAAAAAAAGAATTTTTAGCCCTTGATAGTATCAATTTTCTACATTTAAATATAGCAAACAGAAATAATATTTCCCTTCAAACAACTAAGAGTTACCTTAAGAAGAAATTTGCAAACACTTCCCACCTCCAAACTCATCTCCACACCCTGTTCTCGTAAACTCCACCTTCTCCTGAAGCCTTTTCTGCTCCCAGCTCTCATGTGTGTTTCTCATCCGGCACAGCCAACAGGAGAATGTTTAAAGTTCCTTCCTCTCTGAGCACTGAGGACGTACTCCTAGCTCATGACACTTTCTTCTTCTGGGTGTCTCTTATCTTGTTCTCTGTCTTCTCTTCCGACATCTTTTTACTTACACAGACTACAGAAGCCCTTGCAGGGCAGGAATCACACAATTTACTTCAGGAAATCTCCCCTTCTTACCTAGAACTGTCTTGTTCCATTTATAAGATAGTGCTTAAATACAGTTGTTGAGCAAATGAGTGAATCAAAAACAATCACTGGGCATAGACTGCCAAAGCTGGAATGGCTCGAGAGATCATTCAGGCCAGGTCCCGTGCTTTCCTGATGAAACTGAAGCCCCCGGAAAAAAAGGGGTTTACCCAGCCCCAGGTCACACAGCTTACAACGAGCAGAGCTGAGCCAGAGCCCAAGGCAACTGACCCAAACAGCAAACAGCACTGTTTCCACACTTTACACTGTCTCCCACATCACAAGACCTCCCCATCTGAAGGCCTCACCCTGGGAGGCCGCCGTTGAAAGGAAGGAGGAAATCAGTTACCTTCCCCAGTGTGCGTGGTTCTGGAGCCAGGAGCACGGACTGGATTCCAATCCATACGTCACAGTTTCCCCATAATCCACAAAGGATTTATTCAGCCTGGAAGAGGAGGAGGGAAGAAGAAGGGCAGAATATGTGGATTAGACAATGACAGTGACCGAACAAATAGAGCCACTGAGATCTGAGCCAGTCCCCATCTGTCACCCTGGAGATACCACTCTGAGTCCTGTGTCTCATCCTTTCAAAGATCAGAAGTATTAAGTCCACAGGATGGTTACTTTTATCATAATTAACAACCATCTGGTAGAATCATTTCAATGGAGTAAACATTACAAGGCACATGAAATTAGAATGCAGTGTCTATTTACTGCGCATAGGTAAATTTAACAGATGAGAATGAGCCGGAAAAGAACACAAAGATACCCAGGGAAAGGAAATGCTGCAATCTTAAGCAGCTACCTCCAGCCAGTGTGAAGAACTGAGAATGGTCTGCATCGGTGCTCATTTTCAGGGTTAACAGAACCCAAAAAGACAATTTGTCACTTGAGAGGTGGTTCAGAGGGCTCTCACCTGCGGCAGAAGTGGTGAGCACATTTCACCAGGATACCCATGCAGTGCACAGCTATGATGCCTATGACCAGCAGGCTGACGGGACCCATCTGGGAACAGGTGTTGCAGGCAATAGAGAGAGAGAGACAAGTAGGTAGAATTATGAGTGAACCCGATGGATACTCGGTTTGCAAATGATTAAAAAGCTACTAAGGCACTTTTCAGTGTTAAAACTTTGGGCCCAGCATTAGAGAGAGATATGTGATCATGGAGATTAGCTCTGTGACACGGGTGCTATCTGAACTTTCAAGACATTTAGTCATGTGGAGAAGAAGAACATAAGATAAGTCTGTTCCAAGACTGGGGCAACTCAGTAGAATAGAAGGCTCCCGTGACTGTGGGAAGAAGAGATGGGCTAAGGGATGTTGGGGGAGAGGGGTAAGTTATCTTTACAGCATTGCCAGATCAAGAAAGACTGCACTTAGCTAAGGGCAACCCACATCTCTGAGCCTCTCTTCAACTCCAAAAGAAACAGAATGGCTTTGGGCAGGCAGTCAACATGAAGCGAATCATAAAAAGAAGACCTAAGATTCTTGGAGTTGGCCATTTAGGAAGAGGGCATGGGGGACCGTGTAGAAAATGGGCAGACATCTGTAACTAACTCATTAGTTCATATTATTGACAGAAACTGCATGAGCCATCCCAGTACATCCTCTCCACCATTAAGTAAGCTCCATGAGGGCAGGAATCTTTCTTTAATTCGCTGATGTATTCTAAGAGCCTAGAAAGGTACCTAACACACAGAGCACTCTCAATAAATATCTTTAGGTGAATGAATGTCTGAATTTTGCTTTTTGTCAACTGATTTTTTTTAAAGATCCTTCTCTATTTAAAATATTTTAAAGCAAGCAAATTTTAACAACAACAAAGAACTACCTCTTAAAATTTGTCACTACTCCCCTCCACTGATGCAGGCCCTTACCACAATGCCTGCATTTTTCACTGCCAGAGGTAGCCCCAGGAGTCCTGTGCCAATGTTGCCTTTTAACAGGTGGATCAAGGTCTGGAACCATCTGAAGTGAAAGACAGACAAGGAAAGGATAACCATGACAGTTAACTTTTACTAAGTTCTTAGTGCTTATATGCATTACCTCATTTTATTTCCACAAAAACCCTGTAAGATTTTATTTTATGGATGAGAAAGTGGTTTGCTCAAGGTCACACACCTAGTAAAGGGCTGAGGCAAGATTCAAATCTAGGCAGTCTGACTCCAGAGCTCCCTCTCCTATCCCCTGTGCTGTAAGTCCCCATTCTTTGTGGCATTCCTGAGAATTCCTTCTCTCAGAGTTTAGATCAGAGGGGTGCTCTGACTCTCTCCAGACACTATCCTTTCCAAGGATATTTGAGCCTGGTTCTAACCACTGAACTGCCCACTGTAAAGACTCAGACCTGGCTGGGCACAGTGGCTCATGCCTGTAATCCCACCACTTTGGGAGGCTGAAGCAGGTGGATCACCTGAGGTCAGGAGTTCAAGACCAGCCTGGCCAACATGGCAAAACTCCACCTCTGCTAGAAATATAAAACTTAGCCAGGTGTGGTGGTATGCGCCTGTAATCTTATCTTCTCAGGAAGTTAAGGTAGGAGAATTGCTTGAACCTGGGAGGGGGAGGTTGCAGTGAGC